ACCTGCAATAGTATAACTTGTTTAGTAGAATTCAACTGGTTAGGCAAATAGAAATAGACTAAATGTTTAGACAATGAATGATAAACATAAAATATATAAAGATCAGAAGAGAAAGAAGGGGATTTTAGAGATTCAGTCAGTTCTGGTGAATTTAATGCTTCATCTTTTCCTATGACTAATGACGATTTACTTAATGCAAGTGAACTTTTGGAATGAAAGTAAAAAAAAGAAGATAACTTTATACAAATGAATATTATATTCTAATGTGATATTTAATAAACAATGTATATGCATTAGTCAAAGAGTACTGGATACTTCTGTAAATTTTCACATATCTTAAGATGTCTGAGTTTAGAACTTTTCTTTCTTGCTGTCATAAGGTTAGATAGAGTTTGGACATACTATCTTGTCTATCAGACTGAACCTGTGTGTTACATAAGTATGCATATAATGCTTTCTGTTGTAGTTATATAACCTAATAATCTCTGTAGTTATATTTTCATATTCCATAGTGCCATTATTTCTGTTTAACCATATCCGACTTTTCCTGGTTCTTGTTAGCTGAGATTCATAACACAGAAATCTAAGACTTAAAAAATATCAAAATGGAAATATTAAAAGTTATACTCTGTTAAGACTAAGATGTCTTACATTAAAGGGCATAACAGTAACATAAAGCATTTATTAATATTTATTAATGTATTTAATATTTACCCAGTGATTTAAGTTCCAAAAGTTTGAAAATTTGTTAGACTAAGTCAGATGCTTATATTATGAGATTGATTATTTAGTTTTCTCGGCCCAAACAAACTGAAAAGCAATGACTCCTTCTTTTCCTATCATAATTGTAAAAAAGTGCTTATTTGAAAAAAGTGCAGATAATCAATTTAATATTTTTTGTGATTTTAAAATAATTTCCAGAATCATGAAGTATAAGCCCATACCTAAAGTGAGATGAACTCATCATGAATACCACATTACACCCAGCTGTTCTTACAGCTCTCTTGAACTCGCATGTTTTTTTGTTTTTTTAAAAAGGTAAATATGTAGCAGTGCCATATACCCATATTTGTAAAAATAAGAGATAAGAGTGTAAGTAAAGAAACAAATAAAGATAAGAACTGGAGCTTCAAATATTACAAATTAAAGTACACCTACTAACCACAATGTAAAGCATCGCTTTGATACGTTACTCACTACATTGAATTACCACTAGATATCCTATGGTCAGTTTTAACATGGCAAATTTTGTGCAAGTAGCCAATGATTGTGAGAGGACAATTTAAAGAAAAATACAGAAGTGATGATTTTAACATTAGCTCTATTGTGAATGTTGGCTAATACTTTTGCTGTTAAACTGTTATTGACGTTAAGAAATTAAAATAACTTTAAGTACTGTTTAAGTGTACATTTTATACACTAATGAATCAAGATTAAGTAAGTGTGGAATGTAAATAAAGCTTTGAGATTGACTCCACATCTTAAAACATATCATCAATATACTGGAGTCAATTATTTGAAGAAATACTGTTTAGTAACTTCCCCCGAGAAAGAATAAACAATACAAATACATGTATGTGCAGAATAACAACACAATAGCACTATGGTTACCCATACTTAATCTGTTTATAAAACTGTTTAGAATTATATTATTGTAATATTTTTGCTTGATTAGCCATTTGTTCTATCTCCTATGATTTGTAAACTGATATATTTTTGATTGATGATCATTATCTTATTAAATAAGAAAACCAAGAACAGTTAATTTCTTGGCCAATTATACATGAATAAACTTGTCTTATTCAAGAAAACAGGTGTATTTCTTGGTAGGTGACCCACTAACAAACATCTAGTGTCTTATTAAAGAAAACATGTGTATTTCTTGGTAGGTGACCCACTAATAAACATCTTGTGTCTTATTAAACAAAACAAGTGTATTTCTTGGTAGGTGACCCACTAATAAACATCTTGCATCTTATTAAAGAAAACAGGTATATTTCTTGATAGGTGACCCACTAATAAATATCTTGTGTCTTATTAAAGAAAACTGGTATATTTCTTGATAGGTGACCCACTAATAAATATCTTGTGTCTT